ACCATTGCCCTAGGAAGTTCATCTGGGGGAACTATTTTCGTCTCACCAGATGAGCGCCGCAACATGTTTTTGTTTCTTCCTAATTTTGTTAGTGTGCCTGTTTTTTTTTTTTTAGAGCCACAACAGATGCTAGAGGCTTACATTTTAGTCCTCTATCACACTGTGTGCTTCTGAAAAGCATGAAAAATTTAGACTTGACAAGATTATATAAAAGGAAGCACACGCGCTTGCTTATATGCTCTTCGCGGGAAGAATCCCATTTGTAAGCACAACATGTTTTAACTACATCCAGCAGCCCTTTAGCTTATACAGTAGCCTTGTATGAATTCAAAAAGGAAGTTCCAAGTCCATCACCTAATCATCATGTGAAAAGCCTACTAACTTAGAGATAGGGTGAGAAGCTCGATCATCCGGGAGGGACTCAGAGTAGAGCCACTGCTTCTCCACGTCGAGAGGAGCCAGTTGAGGTGGCTCGGGCATCTGGTTAGGATGCCTCCTGGACGCCTCCCCTGGTGAGGTGTTCCGAACACGTCCCACCGGGAGGAGACCCAGAGGAAGACCCAGGACACGCTGGAGGGACTATGTTTCTTGGCTGGCCTGGGAATGCCTCGGGATTCCCCCGGAGGAGCTGGCCCAAGTGGCTGGGGAGAGGGAAGTCTGGGCCTCTCTACTTAGGCTATACTCCCGCAACCCGACTCCGGATAAGCGGAAGAAAATGGATGGATGGTTTCTCTATCTTGGATGTTTGGCAAAACAAATGTTTCTGCTGTGTCTGCACCACTCAAACTCAAAATGGCATTTTAATTTAGAAAAACACTAATTTTAACAGACACTGTCAGTTTGGACCTGTTAACAAGACCATGCTGCTATACAGGACAAAACCATGATGTTGAAAGAACCTCACTGCTAACCGAACCACACTGTAGATGTATTTCTTTTTCAACTTCGGCGCCTTATTTTTTTTGTATGTTAGTGGCATTTTTTCTATGTTTTTTTTAGTATTTTACTAGTATTTTTTATATGTTTTGTAGTATTTTAGTAGTATTTTTCAATATGCTTTTTAGTATTTTAGTAATAATTTTTGTATGTTTTTTTAGTATTTTTGCTGCATGCTTTGGTATTTATTTTATTTTATTTTTTGGGCGAGTTGAGACGGTTCTTTTTGTCCTAAGCATTTCATTGCATTGTTGACCTTGTGTTGATTTTACATATGACAAATAAACCAAACCTGAACTTTCGGATGTTTTTCACTTATCCATGCAGACTTGACAAATGGTGATTAGAAACATAGTATCTTAATTTGCATATGCTCCCTACCACCATAACAATGGCACCAGATTTTTTATTATTATTTTATTATTATTTTGCATCTGTTTGGCTTGTTAATACTACTAATAATAATAATAATTTTATTTAAAAAGCGCCTTTCATGACACCCAAGGACACTTTACAGTAAGAACAAAGATCAACAGGAATAAATTACATAAAGAATATAAAATGCATAAAGAATATAAAATACAGGGCAGCACAGTGGCGCAACTGGTAGAGCTGCTGCCTCTCAGCGAGCAGGTCCTTGGTTCAAACCCGGGTCCAGGGGCCTTTCTGGGTGGAGTTTGCATGTTCTCTCCGTGCATGCGTGGGTTTTCTCCGGGTACTCCAGTTTCCTCCCACAGACCAAAAACATGCATGTTAGGCTGATTGGTAACTCTAAATTGTCCCTAGGTGTGAGTGAGAGAGTGAATGGTTGTTTGTCTTGTTTGTCTCTATGTGGCCCTGTGATGGACTTGCGACCCGTCCAGGGTGTACCCCACCCCTCACACAGTGATTGCTGGGCATGGGCACCAGCGACCCCCGTGACCCAAAATGGAATAAGCGGGTAAAGATAATGGATGGATGAATATAAAATACATACAGCAAAGTTAAGGATAAGCGAGTCTAAAGAGATGTGTTTTCAGTTCTGACCTTTTCATTATTTAACTTTTTTATATCCCGAGAAAGCTTATAAGTGAGATTTAATGCTAAAGCAGCATTAAAAAAGAGCTCTCTTTAGCCATGCTCAGAATGCCTTTCTCTGTATTTTGATGTGTTTATGTGTATAACACTGAATGTGAACATTAATATCATGGTCTGATTAATGATTTTTCATTTTAACTCATAAATCTTAGCAATCTAATGGTTGCAATACAACACTAACAGCTAAAATTACTGTAAAAATTCCAGCGATAGACCAAAGGACACACCTTAACCACACTTTTTCCTCATTTTTTTCCTCTACCTGTTTAATTGCCGTTTTGTCCTCTTTCTTGCTCCTTATCTCACATTATTGCCCCAAGTAAACTGCTGTAGAAACACGGTTAATTATTTGTCATGATGTTACACAATTTCCAAAATATAATATTTCAGTAGCGTAACTCCAAGTGCGTTCAACACTAACTGTACAATGGAGTCATATTTGTTCTTTTATTTGTTATTTGGCCAAATTGAACCGTGAACAAACTTAAAAGACATCTTCGTCATGTCCCAATAAGTTTGTTACATATGATTATTGTCAAAAGCCGGCTTTAAGACAGACTTTATATGCAATCAGTTAAAAAAAAAAATAGGGCGATTGCCTTCATATTCAATAAAACCCCAAACAGACTCTAGTTAGTATAAGATGTGATGTTCAAACAGAAACTAAAAATGTTTGCAATGTGCTGTTTGTTATTACCAGCCATGCCAGCATGAAAATACTTGCATCTCATGCTTGAGTTGCAATGCTATTATATAGCTCTAATTAAAAAATAAAGCATGTCTGCTCCTGTCCATCTGCTATTAGAACCTGTTTAGCCCACAGGTTTGCTTTGAACTGCTCCCTCATTACAGTTCCTCAAAGAAATTTCATACAATAGTGAGTTGAAAAGGCCAATGCTTGAATGGAGCCTGAAAGGAGAGGCTGTACTTGGCCTTCAAGTACGCATTCCTTCAGCTCAGTGCTTCCTCTGTGGTCCCCCTCTTCTGCCCCCCGCCCCCCTCTCCCACTCAAGACTCAGTTCCCACAGGGGACTCAGCCAAAGCAAACTCCTCAGAGGAAGTCTCCCTCTCCTTTCAGTATGAGAGAAAGAGAGGGATGGATGTCCGATCCAGGCCCTGTGGGACCTGCGAGGCAGTAGGATGTGCGAGGAGGTTTTGTCATGTCTCTGTGGCCGTGCTATGTCTATGATGTGGTGGTGAGTAAAGCCCGTGCGGCTGCTCTCCTGTGAGGTCAGTGTCATATTTAGCCGGCAGGTCCCTTGTGGTGTCTGGGAGTGTCTGTTTTCTGGCTCTATTATGTCTACTGCTCATAGCCTTCCTGGAGCTGAAAACCTCAGGGTAGAAATAGTACCAGACACGCAGACATCCTTTGTCAGGAAAACAGCAGTCACGTCAGTAATTACAGAGTCTGATTACACCAGGGCAGCAGCTCGTAGAACGCCACTGGCCGGGACCCAGGCAGGTGTGGGGTCGAGTCATCGCTGAGCACTCGGGAGGAGGTCTGGGTTAAAAGAATTAACCTACAGTAGCAAAACCAAACACTGAGCTTTGTGTGTGAAAGGTGTGTGGTGACTGGTTAGACAGGTGGAGGAGTGTCTGGGCAAATATGTGCGCCTCACGTTGCTTTAAAGTTTAACCAGCGTTATATAAAACGAATTTAAAAACTAGCAATTAAAGCTTTTCTTTTCAACTTAAATTAACACAACAACAAAAAAGTATAACTTCTCTCAGGTCACATTTTTAGAACTGCAGCAGACTTTATTATCTGTGTTTTTTGGAATGCTGTGCCAGACCTAAATTACCACCTCCACCCTTGAGGGTGCAGTATCAGACACACACACACACACACTCCCACACACACATATGTCTTTACACCCCTTCTTCACCCACCCGCCTTCCCACACAACCCACTCATAGCTGCACACACAAACCCTGGCTTTGTGCAGAAAATCGTGCAGGTGTGATTCATTACCAACCTGGCTTCCTCGCTAAATTTCCATATTTAGATTATTGCAGCTAAGCGGAGATTAAGATTTCATAAACACACGTAACTCCGCAGGGGTGTTTTTCATTGAGGATTTTGAAGGTGGTAATCATTACTCTTGAATCGCACAGGAGGAGATGGGAGTGTTGGCCGTTCCTGCAGGCAGGATGTCATCGTAGTGAGTAAGAAGCGACAGGCAGGTCTGTGCTGGCCTCTGTGCCTGCCTAGGTAAACATATCCTCCGTCTGACAAGGAAGGGGGTTAACCGTCTCAACGCTGAGGCCTGCAGCTTGCCACACACACAGGGAGTCAGTATATCTGAGGAAAAGCTTGTGGGATTCAGGGTTTTCCAGCAGACATATACTTCCCTCCTCGAGTTTGGAGAATGCCTTCGAACTGTACATGACTCTGCAGTTCTGTTGTGGACGTGAAGCCGTTTTGAAACCCTTCCACTCCATCTTCTGTCAGAACCGAGTGCAATCACTTTAATTTCTCTTCCTCTCTGTCTGGGTCTGCCTTTTTGCTCGCTGTGTTTCTGCGGTTTGTGGAGTCGATCTGCTCCACCTGACGGCGCCTCTTCTCCTTGGCAGGGAGCAGTGTAGCCTTACTGGCTGCCAGCCAGACCAGCTTGAGTGTCTGCTCAGCTCAAAGACCCGCTCGCGCACACACACACGCACACACACGCACACACACAGACATGCCAAACGCAAGAGATTGAATGCTTACACAGACGCATCTTCGTCCTCCCTCTTCGCCTCACTCTGACTCTATAATTTTCTCCCTTTCCATGACCTTCTGTTATTTAGTGTGGGAAAGAACTGTAAAACATTGCTGCATGTTCTGACAAATCTGTGTCCTACTTATGAATAATGCCATTTTTTGCAGTCACAGCGTAGCATTCTTAGAAGTTTGTTTTTCTTTTTCAACGTCTACTGTACTCCGTGATGTAATATCTGTGAGAGGATGGTAATAATTCAACTTCTGATCTCGCCTCTCTCTGCAGTCGCTGAGCCCGATCCCACCCAAGAGGTCCAAGCTGGACAAATTGCAGTCTCCGTCTGCTGACAAAGACAGGAAACCTGACTGGCTGCAGTCGCTGTCTAAGTCTGCACACAAGGTTTGTATGCTATATGACTACGTTGCATCGTTGAAATTATAAAGGCATGATGTGAAATCTATTTATTCGTTCTTTACATTATAGTCTACACAGCACCCTTGTTCTAGAAAAGGAGCTTTTGGACACTTTTTTGTGGTTGATATTAGGGCTGAATGATTTTGGAAAATATTCTAATGGTAATTTTTTTTGCTGCAATATTGCGATTTAATATGCGATTATTTTTCAATGTCTTCTCCTCGTATTTTTCAGCAAACACAAGCAATCAATCTGTTTCAGTTGCAAAAAACTCCACTTTTTTCAGCACTTCTGCTGCTCTGGTTCTGCTTTTCTTTGTATACTGTAGCTCCGGGATAGCGACTTGGCTAAAATGTGTGTATGAGGGCATTCTGTACCACCTATCTATTGTGTTTACTAAAGCCAGAAACCCAGGCTTGGTCACTATATTAATGGACAACATGTCTTTCACTATGAACTCCGTTATTGCTCTAGTAATTTCCGTGTGCTGTTTCAAATTATGTTACGGAGTATTACGTTCGAACAGTTCGGTCAGTGATCCCTGTCGCCTGGTACTTTGCTTACTTTAAGATGAAGCACTGGTCGTTGGCAGCCATGCAACTATCGTAAATGGCTTTGTGGTGATTTTTTAAGTGTTGGTAAAGATTTGTGGTGTCAACTCGAGAGGTAGCAACAGCAGCCAGGCAGGTTCTGCACAATTCATGTCGTTGTGCAGCGTCTCCTTTTTTATGGCCAAAATAATTCCAAACAACGGTCGTGCTGCTCCTCTTTGGTACCAAACGTTCAGATGTATCAGCTTCTGTCGAGCCTGACGCCATTGTGCAACCGGTTAAAGTGCAGTGTTGACTTCTCCCACTCCCTGCTCTGCTCTGCTCACTCGCAAGTGACGTAACCAGATCACGTGATCAGTCAAATCACAGCCTTTGCAATTAGAAAATCTTGTTTTATCATATCGCGATATTATCGCAAATTCAATTAATTGTTCAGCCCTAGTTGATATAATTGTAGTTGATTAAGCTGTAGGGATAGAGTTTATCTAAGGTTGTTGTTTTTTTGTTTGTCAAGGAGCTGAAACAGGTCCAGCTGAAACAGAGGCCCTCTGCTTTCCGCCCATGGTCTCCAAAAGCAGCAGAAAAAGAGAAAGCAGCGACTCAGAATGAAGCAGAAAGGCGAGTCCTCTTATCGGACCTTTAGCCTTTAAACACAAAACGTCAGTTTCTAAAGTTTCTAACCAGTGAAATCCTTTGCATAAATGTTTTTCTATAGACCCTGCTTAAAAACTCAGGAGACCTTAGCTGCTGCAGTGGTTCCTCTGCTCCATCCCAGCGACAGTTACACCTCCAGCAGAGAGGCCAAAATCATTCCCATTCAAGAGCTGCATAATGGTGGCACCCAGCCGTCCACAAAACTGTCCTATTCTGCCATCACCGGTCGAGCCGAGGACATGGACACAGACGGAGAGATCGATGTGGACGACTGTGATGATGGTAAGTTTAAACTGCTGGAATGAAGCAAAAATACTCTGAACAAAATAAACCAAGACATTTATCACTGCACAATTAGTTTATGTAAGACACCAGTTTTTCCAGTGCAGGTTTTATTTGATGTGTAAATGAGTCATGTAAGAAAGTGTTTTGATACTAGTACAACTCTGCCACCTGGTGTCAAATAAAAGTACAAACACAACTTTATCGGATCAGTTAAAAAGCAATCGCCTTAAAATACGAAACAAATTTTTGTTGTAATATCTGTTTAGAATCAGCACTTTAAATCCCATTCCAAATTCCTGTTCAAATTCCAGTGACATCTCTCCTCAGGTCTTGTTTCAGCCTCCTCTGTGGCGTTACCTCCCTCAGCCTCCACCAGCATCGCTCAGAGTCTGACGCTTCAGCGGGTCGCTCCGGTTCAGGATTTAGCTCCCTGGCTGCTGGAGAACGTCTGCCCAGAGATAGATACCATGAGGCAGATGCTGCGCACTGGCCTGGACACCAAAGAGGCCCGAGAGAAAATCCTGCAGGAGATTGTCAGAATGAGAGTGAAGCAGGAGGAGAAGCTGTCAGCCGCTCTGCAAGCCAAACGCAGCCTTCAGCAGGTACCTCTCTGAGCAGGATTAGCCGTTAGGAAACTTTCAGTGGAGTTTTACTTTTAAACAATAATCCCCTCTAATGGTTTTCAGGAGCTGGAATTCGTGAAGGTGGCTAAAAAGGGCCGTCTTCGTGATGCCATCGAGGCCAAACGCAACTTGCGAAAGGAGATTGAGCGCCTTCGCGTGGACTGGGAGAGGAAGATAAGGGAGGCTGAGGAGTCGTGCGGGCGGCTGAACAGGGAGCTGGAGAGAGAAAGACAAGTGCGGGTGTGCGACCAAGGTTGTGAAGCTGAACGTCTCCGGGTTAAATACTCGACTCAGGTAAGATGCTGCTTCACTTCAACACACTGGATGTTTTCTTAAACTCACATGTTTATCTCAGTTTGTAATAATAGTCCAGGCGACAGGAATTCCTAAAAGATGTTGACATGCACGCGCGGAGTCAGCAAATGTGGACGATATTCCTATTTACCACTCCAAACTCAAAGAAGGAAGATCCTGAGCGCAGCTACTTTTCATTCAGCCTTTATTTAGACAGGTTAATCCCATTGAGCCTCGAGGACTCATTTACAAGAGAGACCTGATTTCAACAAAGACTGATGACAACAATGGATAATCATAAAAGAGAAAACCCAAACTGTTCCATGCCATGACCCCCACAAACAGCATT